CAGAAGGAGATACAGGAGTCTAGGAATACGGAATTTACCACCAAGCGCAAAACTAAGGTGCCTGACCCTTGTGCATGCAGAGCTCCTCCAGGGAGTTAAAGTACACAGATTAAAAGCCAGAAATATTAGGAATTTGTTTTCATGAAGCACTCTGCCCTTAAGATATATATATAAGGAGAAATATTTAGGTGATATACAGATAATTGGGAAACGGCTAAGGAAAGGTGGTGGAAGAAATGAAAACATTGCTTAAGAAGTAAAACACCAGACCTCTTTATTGCTATATATAACATCAATAAGTGGGGTGCTGTGGATTTTTCCTGAACAATGCACAAGTTTAAGTATTTCCAGTATGATATGGTGCATATCATAATGTCATGTAGGGCTGTTGTTTCCCCCGGGAAACCCATTTGAGCTTTAGGGCAGGACGTGTTTCCATGGAGAATGGTCACTTTAACAAGAAAGCAAGAAATCTGGGCAGCAAGACTGTTCATACAGTCTTGCTGGTACTGGGGTAGTTGGAATTATGTGCTATTGTGATACTCCTGGATTTCCAAAAGAACCTTCAGAAAATATTTAGTTACACTCAGTATCACTGAGAGCAGGGAACCTTTTTCTTTGGATAAGCTCTGACTTTGGAGAAGGCTTCCTTGAAACAGAGGCATCTGAACCACAAAACCGCTTTTGCCTTCCCTTGAAGTGATAAGTGTTTCCAGTAATAACTATTATCAAGCTTTTAGGCAATTGCTGTGCCCTGCAACGTGTCCAATACTGGATAAGGAGCTAGGGGTGAGAGAAGGAGTACTAATCTTCTGTGCACCCATCTGAGAAGGTGAAAAATTATGCCAGATCCTCTTGGCTGTCAAACTAAGAAGAATCCTACAGTAATGTAGGACAAGGTCTGGATTATTTTTCTGAAGGGGCACTTCATCCAAACAACAGTGCTGCCTTTGGGCTATATTTATGTTCCTTTCATAACAGCAAAGTGAACATTTAAAAAAGAATTAAAAAAAGCTGTAGACAAGGTCTTGTGTCTTGGCCTAACCTCTGTATCCATTCTGAAACTGTATTTGCAGTTGTTATCCATCAGAGCATCCTCTCATAAACTGTATTCTATTAGTAGTGAAAACGCTTTACTGCTTAGTTTTTGTGTTAATATTTTTAATAGTGTATTATATACACCTATAAGTTTGTGTCATTGTGCCAGCAAATGATATTAACTGTTAAAGAACTTACGTTCACTTCCTGGTATTTGTTTTGAAATTTAAGGTAAAATTTGCTTTTGTCATTAAGTCTGTACACACATGCATACACCAACTGTATGTGATGTTCTTGGAGGTCCCTAGGCATGTACCTGCACATACTTGCTGCTTCTTTTCTTGTTCAGGGTTGAGTTGAAAGTAAGTGGAGCTTGTTCTTAGGATTTCCGGGGTTTTTTTAGAGCACAGAGTATATTGTTATGCAAGAAAGACATTGGCACTTACTTGCCTGTCATGCACAGATCACCTTTCTGTTCAATCCACTTCTATGTGTTTCATATTCTCATGCCTTTTATTGCCTGTAAAAAGTACCAATATGACTAAGGTACTCTCTTCTAGGTCTAGGACCTGTTGTCCACTTCGTAGCCTTTCTCATTTAAGGAGTAGGGGTTTAGGGCAAAAAGTTATCTTTTATGTTGAGTCTTCTGCAGCTCTGTGCTGTTCAGCAGAACTTAACAACGTAATTATTTCACTTTTAATTAAATCTTAAGGCGTTTAACATCTGTCTCACAAATTCTTACCGTAGAGCGCTCACAGTTTACACTTACTGAATTAGCAGAGAGTCCACCTACACCGGCCTCAGTGTTGAAGGGCACTGAAAATGCATTTTGCTGGATTAAATTCCCAGTTACCTGTTTAGTAGTTGGGGAAAGGGTGTGCTGCAGCTCACTAAATCTGGTTGAGGCAGGTTGTTTGCTAATAAATTCGAACATCGGGTGTGAAGTGCAGTTGAGAAGGTTTAAGAAAAGGTTATGAATTCCAGTTCTAGACTGTTACTCTTTGTTTCATTTTGCAAGGCAAAAACTGTACTGTGATCTTGTCTAATGTGATTAACATGAAGAGCCAAGAAAACTTACCTGATTAGAATAACTAAGTAATATTGCCAAGCTTGTATTCCCAGAAGGTAGGGAAAAAGGGGCCATATGAGTTTCAGAGTTATGGAAAACACTGAGAAAATGGATGTTAAAATGTGCTTTAGGCAGTTTGCTCAACAATACATCAGGGAAACTTCCAAGTCTACATAGCGATTACCCGATCACTGAACATGTTATTTAATTGTAGAACCACTTATATTCCATCTGTATTTCTCAAACCCAATCTTTCCAGATGTCTCAGACCAGTTTTATAGGCACCAGACACATTAGGGAACAAAAGGCTTTCCAATATATACTCACATTATCAAACATAGTCGCTAACTCTCACCAATACCAAATGTGCATCACATGTTAAATCCACGTTCCAATATTGAATCCTTTTGTCAGCAGTTTGTGACTTTCATAACTCACTTTAATTCTTCAGAGGTCTCAAATATTGTCAGTTCCTAGAGTTTAATAGTCAAAACTGTCAAGCACACAAAATATTTTCAAACAAAGTGATCTCTGAAGGGTTCAGTATAATTATTTTTCACATGTTTTAATGAAAATGGCTTCACAGTTCTATGTTTCCTTTCCCTAACTGAGTCACTCTGAATCATGCTGTTGTGGGGGAGTCTGCCTGGGAATCTGGACTGGAATTACTTTTCAGCATGAGTTTTGGGGGATGGTGGCTGGAGGGATGTCCCTTCCTCGAACTTTCTTAGGTAAGAGAGGAATCCATGAATCGAACTCGCTGTACTTGGACCCAAACCATGTTAGCTCTTTGAGAAGCAGGTTCGAGTATCCAGGTTGTCTTCCCAATTTTCTGCTTCTTTCAGAGCCATTTAGAAGCTAAGTCCTAAAGGCTGCAGCCAGCAATGTCACAGCTAAATTACTCTACCTGCAGCTCATCATCTTCATGAATCAATGTGTCTTTTTCTTTTTGCTCTTTAGAATTTTTGCACTGTGATTTTCTACAACTGTTGAGATAGATTTAAGCTTTATCTTGTAAACAGCTTTTCTCAACCTCTCCATACCCCCTACCGTGCATACACAGAGAGCACATAAAAGTTAGCTATTTGAATGCAATTTGAAAGAGCCAAGATAAACCCAAAGAAAGAAATGCTGAAGTAATTGTAAATATTACCTTGTCGTTTGCAAAGGCAGAAGGAAATTTCATGAAGTGAGCATTGGAATATGATATTGGATCAGTAAATGACATGAAACAGATGTAGGTATTTATGGGAATGGTGTATAGGAGATTAAAACTGTTAAAAACTGAAACATGGTCTTTCCTGTGAAATCTTGTTAGGCATTTTCATTCTATTTCCAAAATGTAACTTTCTGTGAATTAATACTGATTTTTTTATACTAAAATTTCCATGAGCCTTTGTAATTTTCTCTTTGCCTTCGATCATGAACTCTCATATCTCCAGATAGCTGACCACGTGTGACCAGTAAGTGTTCATGATACCCTAGTTATCGTAGGGGAAACACTTTCTGAAATTCTGATATCATTGAGTTAATTTATGTTGCTCAATAAATCATAAATGAATCATGTACTTCCTCCCACAAGGAGTGTGTTTCACTATTTTTTGATTCTTTGTTTTCTTTTGACACGATACTAAACTATGTAAACGGGGAATAGAAGTATAACTTTTGCTTTAGTCACACTGTGAAATGAGAGGGGAGAATTGATAGGAAGAGTTTATTGAAAGTGTGAATGGTTTGTCTTCACTAACCAGCTCTCTGTCCTGGCCCATTACTAGGTGCTGGAATTCCATAAGTGAAGATTTAAGATAATATGTAGTAGGGTTTTTTGTTTTGTGTTTTTTTGTTGTTTTTTTTGTTTAAAAGCTGTTGTGGAACCAATGTTTTATACTGTGAACTGTGCAGTTAAAATGACCAGTCTGCAGACACATGGCAGTTAAGGTTTGGCAAACTACGAGAAGAGTCTTAGGGAATTCAGGCAGACCAAGATTACACATAAATAAATAAAACATGTGCTTGGCTTGGTTAGGGCCTAATTAAAGAATTGTCAAGTTGTTCAGACTTGTGCATATCAGCCCAATCTGTTTATTTTTCCCCATTCCCAATATTTTTGAAACTTATTGCCCTGATATCAAACATGTGCAAGCTGCAAATTATCTTTCATTCTGTATCTACAACTTAAAAGATTTAAATGTATTGAAAATGCAGTTCAAACCAGTTATGTCTTTTTTACCCTTACTTACGTTTTCTCAGACATTGGCAGCCAGAAATTCCACAAATACAGCCGAGAGAAGACGCTGAAGTGGTTAAAGAAAAAGGTATTGTGTTTCTCTTTTACTTTCAAAATTGCTTTATGTTTAAAATTAAAATGCTTATTAACTTGTCCTTATCTGCATTTGAGCCATGTGGTGTGCCTAAGTTCAAGGTGGATGTCCTATGCAGGAAGGAGAGTCATCACAGTAAAGTTGTTGCATTTGTGAATGTGATGAGATATTAGAGAAATTAAAAGTTTGTTGCATTTCTCTTTCTAATGGGGCTGGCATAAAAGGTATTCATGGAGTGGAGGGAGGCACAATAAGCAGCTGAAATTCAGCTTATTGCTGTGTTCGTTAGGCTTTGCATAAGGTGAGGGGCTTGTCTTTTTCTTTGTCCACTTCACAGATGAGCTAGAGGAGAGCTTTGACTACTGCAGCTTTTAAATTCTGCCATGCATTAAAGCGGGTCAGAAATGCCTTGGTTTTGTGCTACAAATGGATTTCCTCATGAAGTTTTGGCAGTGTCTCTCAGGATGGTCCTGGTATTATTGCTTTTATCCTGATCCAAGAGGTCTGTACACTATGCAGAAAATAAGCTAGTGTTATAGCAAAGCTTGATTGTGGTCTGTATTTTGGTATAAAGAAGGTGAATCTCATTTTATGCATGTGCTTGTGCCCCTATTATGATGCCACTTTGTAAAAAAGATTGTATGCATCACATGATACAAGGAAGCCTCCTCAGTTAAATTGGTTAGCACTAGCACAAAATATGGTTGACTTTCTGCAATGATGAGGAATAAGGATATCTTACTTTGCAATGAGTATTTGAATATTTTAATTTGGGCAGATACTTGTTTGTGGTGTTGAAAATGTCTTCTGCCAGTTATCTCTTTGCTAGATCCAGTATAGCAGTGCCTTGTAAAGTCCTTAATCTTTGATTTCCTCCAGGACTGCCTTTACAATCCAGCTGAGCTCAGCCATTCTCTGTGCTCCAAGCAGGTGTATTTCTCACCTGTGTAGTCATGGCTGTTGCATTTGAGTAGCTCAGCTCATCTTAGGGTGCTCCAAAACTGGTGCTATGTTGCCAAGGCAACATCTTCAAAGACATACTAGTTTCTTTGGGTTCTTTGAGCTCATATGCTAGTCATTACAAATGTATATTAAATTTCACCACAGTCCATAACTTGAGTGTTTTATATGCTTGAAACAAAATTACAAGAGCTTTGTCACTGCATTAACATGTGCATAACAACACTGATACAGACATTTCATTCTGTGGTTTCTTATAGGTCAATCAAACAGTGAAAGCACTTAAAAGCAACAATATAATTGTAGGTGAAAGGGTATATGCAGCTACATTTATCAGCAGTAAACAGATCACAGATACTGAAGAAGGTAAGAAAACTAAACATTGTAGTGAATTCCATTTTTGTGAAATCCCATAGGTGGAGATAAAACATGATAAGCATCTCAAATGTGTTGAAATTGGCCTTTGCAGTAAATTTATTCCTTCTGCAGAAAATTCCATATATGTTGTGATCGTGTGACTTGACTTTTCTGAGTTCTTTGGTATCTTCATTGGGTGACATTGTAATTAATGGTAGGTCTCAGCTTTTAGCTTCTCAGTTCAAGGAGAAGACATTTTGCTCAGTGAAACGTGCTGAAGTGCTTTGCTAAACTGAGACTGTCTTGGACAGCAGGACAAATGCTTATAATAATACGAGTATCCATCCAGTAAGTGTCTCTGTATTAAAATGGAGTTCTTTTTTATTATTATTTTTATTAGCATTCAAATACTCTTCATAGAATTCTTCAAAAAGAGAGAGGATCTTAGGAAGTCATAGTCACAGAGTAAAAGCTCTTGCTCTGAACATTACTTTATGTGGCAAATGTATAGAATACACAAATGTGTGCTTATAAAGGGCAAAACCTTTAATAATATGTGTATTAAATTGCCCTAATGTTGACAAGCTTGGAACCCAAAAGTCTGGAGTGATCCCTTTTGCTTCCAGTAACCTTTTCCCTCCCTTTGGAGAGGGCAGTGTCCTGAATGTTACTGAGACATGAAGTTATATAGAGAAACCTGAAAATGGATTTAGAATAAATTCGTTGAATGTTAATGAAAAATTAGAAAAGTTTAGAATAAGGTGAACAAAAGAAAGTTGTTTCTTGTTACAGAGACATTCAGAAGTCTGCATGCTGTTGAAAAATAAGTAGAAACAAAGCAACTTGCTGACGAAGTGGAAAATGAGTTACCAAGTAATATCAAAGGAAACAACATAAATGAGATTTAAGAGTCAACTAGACAGTTTTATAGAACAGAGATTGTAATATATGGTTTTTAAAAAGAGGCAAAGCTGCAAAACTTGTAAGTGACTTTAACTTTACAGTAGCTTTTCATCCTTTTCCCCACCCCCATTTTTTTAAAGAAAGGGAAAATCATCCTGACAGCAGCCATGTTGACTATGCTTAAATACTTTATCTCTGAATTTTTTAATTAGCTTATCTGCAGGGGTTTTTCCACACCTGGATATAATAGTCTTTTTTAAAACTTTTTTCAGATTGTAACTCTAAACAGCAGCACTGAAATAGTGAATACTAGCAGTTAAAAGTAGGTAAGTTTTGGAGGCAGCCCCACTGTATGTAGCAAGGTGAATGACAGGAAGTCAAATGGACCTTACTCAACACTTATTTTTAATAGGACTAATTTTCTTGTCTGATCCTTTTACTGCCATGACAGTGCAATTTATTTCTGTAGAGATTGCTTTCATAGGGGTATTACAAAATTTCAGTACCTTATAAATAGATGGGTGTATGTAGTTAGCATCTACAGACATTGTAGGGCAAAAATCTGGGAGAATATAATGAGTGCAAATGGGGAAGGAGGGGAGATTTAACATATGAGACCTGAATATTTCATTCAGAAGACAAAGAAGGGAGGTGCAGAAATATTCCTGATGTTTGACAGAAGGTTAATAACAAAGGAAGGCTAGGGTGAGAACACAGACTCCCTAGAAGGCAAACAGTGGTATTTTTGAATTGGTAGAGGAAGTCAGTGAAGATTGCTTCGGGGAGAAATGTAAAGAGAATGGATTCTTTATTTAGCACAAAATAATAGCAGTTGACTTGGACTCACCATTCAGTGTCATAATGTAAAGATTGAAATGATGGGAATATTTTTCTTAAGCAGTAAATAGGACATATTAAATGCTGAGGTGAAATTCGCTTGGATTGGAATTATTTCTTGTTCTTTCCTGACCCCAAAGTGAGTGTAGGGAGTGATAAATCCTTGTTGAATCTAAGTAGTGGAGGAAGTAGAGGTGCAGATAGGAGATACTAAGATTTTGATGTCAGTATAGTTGAAATGCATGCGCTGATGTCAGTTTGTTAATTCTTTCTGCTTCAATGCCAGCTTGCATTGGGCTTTTTAGGTTTCAAAAAACAAAAAAAAAAAGGAAACTATGTCTGGCACAGAAGAAACAGCTCTTTACCACCCTGAGGCTAGTTTACCACAGAGGTGAGATTTTGGCTGAATGTCTGTCTGGCAAACACTTCCTGCGCATGGGCGCTGTTACTCCCTAGCAGGCCCAACAACAGCAAGTTTAAAAGGTCCAGACGGTGATCAGTAAGTGCTTGTGTAGAACGTGACCGTAAAAGATCTGATTTAGGACTTTATGTTTTAAAAGGGTCACTTTTTTTCCCAGTCTCTCAGAAAAATGTTCGTAGCAGGAGTGCCCTGTACTGAAAACAGCTTCTAGTAGTTCATATTTCCACAGATAATTATCCCGTCTTGCCAGTGATGTTTAGATAGGCCTTGGCATTTTCTGTAAAGTACTGAAATTAAGTACAAGACTTTGAAATAGACTCATTGTCTCATCTAATTGTTTTCAGTTGAAGCCAGAAAATGTACTTTAGTACTGAAGCCTTTGCCAAATAATTGTAAGATCCAGATGCTTTAAAATTAATGATTGTGTGTTCTGTTGAGTCAGCTTTTTACTTTTGCAGGTTTTTAAAATTTAATTTCTTTGGAAAAATACATGATATCTAGTATGCTCAGAAAGTGAACAGCTTTTGTAAAGTACGTACAGCAGATATTAATAACATGTGCTGACAAAGTGAGTGTAGTAAGTCTTTACTTTTTAAATAAACCTACAAGTGTCATATAACATAAACTACTCAACACAGAGAACCATCACAGTGTATCCATTAGAAGTCTTTTACTATTAATTCAATCTTATGATTTATGGTAGCACGTGCAACATGGCTAAGGCAACGTGACTATATAATGCGAATGTTCTTTTTCTTCTTACTCCCTGCCCTGTTCCTGAAGACTATGTACGCTATGCCCATGGGTTAATATCAGAATATATTCCTGACGATCTGAGTAAGGAGTTGTTAAAATACTTAGGGTAAGTATTGTTCCAGCTAGCTGCTAGTTTTGTATGCAGTGCATTAATGTCCTTTGGTCAGTGCTGTTGAATACTGAGATTTGTTCATCATGGTTGCAATGAATAACACTATGAGCTTGTATTTGCCACACTTTAAATGTGGGTTTTTTTCAAATGTTGGTTATGCCTTTCTATTGTGCCTATGATGGGCTTTAAGAGAGATGTGATATAAAAGTCTGGTATGTCTGTTACTACAGTTGTATCATGAAAACCTGAGCAGTGTATCTTATTTTAAACAAAGTGGGAAGGAAATCCAAGGACTTAAAGCAGTTTGTCCAGAACTGTCAAGCACAAGCAGCAGAGCCAAGAGCAGAATCCTTATCCCCGGTCTTCTTGCCTTTTCCCTACTTGCTCAGTGCTGCTGGGGTTTGACTTCATATATCTAACCCATGTTAGCTTATATTTAAATCTGGAAGGTGAGCCAGCATCCTCACCCTGGTGTTCCTTGCCAACAGCAGCCTTTGCTTGGAGCATCACTGGGACCCTGCACCTGTCCCTCAGTTCAGCTCTGTTCAAAGGGTTTTGTTATAGTGACCTATGGAAAAATGTGCAATTTGCAGCTTGAAGTCCCATAGCTTAACTGTTTCATTGAAGAGATACTACGTGCTTTATAACACCATCTTACTAATAGGCAAGGTTTTCAAAAGTAAGGTGGAGTTCTGTTTTGGTTGCCAGATCTAAGAACTTTTAAAAGAGCCTATGTTTCTGCTATGGTGCCTGGCTCTGTTTTAGTTATCTAATATAGAGTCCATGAGCTTTTTTTTGCAAATGCATGCCATGTGTGAGCAGCTGATAACCAAAGCAGACTTTGTGGGGAAGGAATTAGAAGCTTTAGGTTGTGCAATCCAGCTGTCTTAATTTGTAACTTAAAATCTTCTGTTCTACAGGCTCCCAGAACTTAAAAACCCAGCAGCAGAGCCACCATTGAAGGTAGGAGAATATTAAGATATTAACAGATGTATTGTAAGCTAATTTCTCTGAATTATTACTGTAACTACACTAGGCCAGGCACTGGGTACAATACAATAAGTAAGTTGGCCTTGTGAAAAGTTGGTCTGAAATAACATGAGAAATTTACCATGAATTTAATTTTTTTTAAAATAAGGAATATTTTGTTTGGTTTTCCTGTTTAAAAAAGAGGAGGGAAAAAGAGAGACATAAAATATGGTTTTGGTCAGCAGTCTTTTCATACATGTTTTGCCTGTTTAATTTTACTAAGGTTGAAGGGACAATATGACCTCATAGGTTTTCTTTCATATGTAATTTATGAGGACCCTGAAAAGGACCTCCTGGGTCATGAATTTCCAGACAACCATGTTGGATAATCTCTCATACACTGACCGTTCTTCAGCATAAGTCTCATTAGGACTTTTTTATTTCCATTACTTCTCTTGGAAGACTGTTCTATAACCTCATTCCTCTGATGCTCAGAAACCTTTCTGTAAAATCCACCTTGAATTTATTCATGGCCAATTAATTTCCTTGCGCTTTTGTGCTAACATTATCTTTTTTTTTTAATTGAAATGGCTGTTTTCCCTCCCTAACATATCTTTTCTCAATGTGTAAAGGGAAAACATATATCCTTTCTATTTCATTTTGTGAAGCCAAACTTGATTGTGTGAGGTGGGCTCTCCATTCCCTCGTCATTGCAGGAACATTTCTTTACACCTGTTCCAAGTTGAATTCAATTGTTTCAAAGCAGGTGACTAGAATCATACGCAATTATTCATGATAAAACTTTTACTGGCACAATATGATGGCATTCTTCCCTTCTTGTCTTAACTGGAAGTACTTACTCTCATTACATCTTAGAGTCCCATTTGCCTCTATTACTGTGCGAGGTACTAGATAGCTTACAGTCCTGCTGTGAATGGTTAGGACACACAGTTGGGTTTTTTTCTTCACTGCAATTTTCAGTTGATCGGCATTCAGATTTATGAGAAATTCATGCCATTAGCTGCTGTGTATGTGACCTTGTACTTCTGTGCATTTCACCTGTTTTTAGTGTTTCCAGTCTTGAAGGTTCTCTGGCTTTTCCTTCACGGTGTTAAAAGCTCTTTAAGCACTCATAATGTACATTCAGTAAATGTAAGCACACTGTTATCTTTAACGATTAATGAAGATTTTGAATAGGTATTGTTCATGGCACTCCGCTAGTAATCTCCATCCAATCCAATGCCATCTCTTTCTGCATTATTTGCCTTTGTTTCCCTTTTACCCGATTTCTTACCTGTCTTAAAATTCTTATGCGGTCTTTGTTTTCTGTAATTTCAGTTGCTTAAGTGGCACCATGTCAAGTTCTCTGGCAATCCTTCACGTTTCTGTCACCAGAAAATGTGTTACCTTTGAGGAAAAAAAGATGTTAGTAGGCATTACCTACGTTTAGTTTTCATTTACTCTATATCTTCAGTTTTACTTCCTTCTTTAACTTTTTCTCCCCCTTCCCATTCTGCTGAAGCCTGCTACCACTTTTTCCTCCTCCTTACATACAGGTGGGTGTTTGGCTTTTCTGCCACGTTATGGTCCCTGCCTGATAGAACAGTTGCCATGTTTTGCACTGGACTTGTGATTTCTGAGGCAGTCTCCCAACAGTGTCAGCATGTTGAGTTTTACATCTGTCTTGAATAGAGTGATTTCTATTCTCTTTTCTGCCCTTGTGTTTAACCTCTGCATCTTTACTGAAAACAATTTACTGAGGCAAAAGATTTATTCCATTTTGGGGCTACACATAGATTAGCTTTAAAATCTATCCAATCCTCACTGTATAGCAGCTTCACTTTTTCTTTTCTGTTTCCCTTTTTGCCTCTGTGGCTAAACAACCTTCTACTATTTGTTTTAATTTCCTTTCCAAGGTCTAACTCAGCTTGACTTTTTGGCAGTTCTCACTTAATCCCAGTATTACCTGACCCCTAAAACAAATTTTGGTTTTTGGCAGTCTTTTTTCTCATTCATTGTAAAATTCTGCTTACTCCTAAAATCCTTTTTTTTGGGGGGGTGGGTATATGTGTGCATCTGTATGAGCAAGGGGGAGTATTCATATGATCAAAGGACTATGAAGCCTGGTGTATGAGGAAAGGCTGAGAGAACTGGGTTTGTTCAGCCTAGAGAATAGGCAGCCATGTTCCAGTATTTAAAGGGTGGCTACAAAGAAGATGGAGACTCCCTTTTTACAAGGATTCACATGGAAAAGATGGGGGTAATGGTCACAAGTTATTTACCTGACTGGGCACCAGAGGAAAATTTTTCACAGTGTGAACAGTCAGCCATTGGAATAAACTCCCCAGAAAGTGGTGGATTCTTCAGTGTTGGACACTTTTAAGACTCAGCAGGACAGGATGCTGGGGTACCTATGTCTAGGTCATGTTTTGCCTAGAAAGGTTTGACCAGATGATCCTTGAGGTCCCTTCCAACCTGATATTTTATGTTATAGTTTAGTCTGAGAAGCTCTTTCAAGATTTTTCACCTTGATTGAAGAGTCAAAATCACTTCTGTTTTTTTCTTTCACATTCCAAGTGTCCTCCTCAAGGGGGACATCAAGTCACTTTGCTTTGGCTTAGAGAAGTAAGGCATATGGTTTGCAACATTTGCCCCTCTAGAATCAAGAACCCCACTTTTGATTATCCTTTCTTTTTAATTTAAACTGAGGCACTCTATGTCTACTGAAACTAGGTTACTTACTACACCAACCTTTCCTGCAATGTCCCTGCTGCTTACTGAAACAGAGTCTAAAAAAACTTCATTTCTGGCTGGTTCAGTGACTGTTCTGCTAAGCAGTATGTCAGCTAGCACATGCAGGAATAATTGGGCCCTACTGTTATTAATAGCATTTGTTCTCCAATGTATATCCATGGATAGAAGTTATTTCCATGTGGTTGGACAGTTGTCCTGGCTGCACAGTTACTTGGCCCTTTGATTCAGTTAAGAATTATCTTTATGCATTGTAAGAAATATTAAATGCACATCAGGAGCCAACTGATATTCATTAGCCATATAAGCATGTTACAACAACTATATTAAACTACATGTGATGTACATTACATATTATGTACGAATACCTTTTATACCATTGGGATAGTTCTGAGAATCTATTTTTAAAAATAGTTTTATTTCAGTGGCTTGGTTACAGAGGAAATGAGGCTTAGAACTGTTCGGTTGTTGGGCAGTGAAATCTTGCTGAGGATCTGATTAATATCCAGAGCACTGACCAGGGTGTATGTGATGCTTCTGTGTTTTAGTCTTTGCAACTTCAGAGATTGAAACTCCCGTTTATTTCAGAGTCTCAGAGGAGCAAGGCAGGCTTGTACACTGGAACCTATAGTCTCCTTCAGACCACTTTTATTCACTTGCATTGACATTTCTCTTCATGAAAGTAATGTGTATTGATAGACATAGTATAGGATTATTGTAAATAAAGCAGGGTCTAACGTGTATTTCCTGTTATGGTAAAGTAATTGCATGTTTAGAAATGATGTTAAAGTAACTTCTCAAGGGAGAAGAGATTTAGAAACTTCACTGGTTAACAGAAAAGCTACAAGAGATTCTCTCTCTTGTAGTTCTGGGTAATAGTAAACTGGGTACAGCCTAGATTCTGTGATCTAATGATTAAACCAAAATTACATGTTCTGTGTATTAATTGTAAGCCATTGATCTTGTGTTGTAATTGTCATACTGTCCATTGTCAGCACAGGGAGTCTGGCCATTGGCAGATGATGAGAGACATCTACAAAGAGTATGTAGGCTCTGCTACAGCAAAACAGCAAACATTTTGCTGGAACGCAAACATTTTGTTGTAATTTTTAAAAACTTGTTTATCAGATTCCAGAAAGAGAAGAATAGTAATTATTCATTAGATTGTCATTTGAAAATGTAATCATAGCACAGTAAACAGGCCCCTAGAGAGGCTGATCCAGATCCCATTGAAATCAAAAGAAAAGGCTGCTGTTGGATGTGGTTCTAAAAGCTGAGAAATCTAAGCTGCAGACCTGGCTTCTGTGCCAAAGCTGGGGGGGGGGAGGGGGGCAGAGAG